CTGAGTTCAATACCTGGTTTTGCAAAAAAATAAATAAATAAAATAAAATTTTTTAAAAATAATAAAGATTTTTCTCTTCACAACTTTTAAGTAAGTAAAAGTACAAATTAATACCATCATAATACATTGCTGCAAAGGCAATGCTTTCTTTTCAAAAAGAAAACAAACATGCTTTCTTTTCAAATGCTTCAAAAGTTTGATAGGTAATTAATTTTTAGCACTTAGGTCATTAAATAATTACCATTTAAATTAACAGCATCAAATAACTTGCTTAATGTGTGTGAATTAAAGTAGTATGTACAGTCCTTCATTTTAGACGTAGAGGTCACAAAAACTGGTTGGCTTCTTCCTTTGTAAAGTGGTAATTACCAATGTTTGTTATATGTTTTGATATTTATTATGTTAGTACTTCATAAAATTAGTTGCAAATAGTGTTGCTATTTTTTTTCACCCAAGTTTAAAGTCAGGCCTTCAGTCCCTTGATCTGTATAACAATGTTTTACTTCTATAATCCAAAACTTGGAACTTTTTCCGATTGCATCTATACCAAAAACTAAGAAAAAGAAATACATAGTAAATCTCTTAGCTTTTAGGCCTTCTTTTCCCCTGAAAATTCAAATCAACATTAGCAAAGTATGAGATTCCCATTATGGGCTGGGCATGGTGGTACATACCATGATCCCAGCCACTCAGCAGGCTGAGGTCAAATTGGGCAGCTCAGCAGACCCTGACTCAAAGAAGATAGAAAGAGCTAAAGATAGGCTGGGGTACTTGCCAAAGCAAGGAGAAGCTCTGGGTTCCCTAGTACCTCCCCGGACACATACCATTTTATAGAAGATGCACCAAAGTACAGAGCATTAAATTAATCTTCTAAAATGATAACTATTCCTCTTCTTATCTACTGTTTCAAATTCTGTCTTTAAAGTATGCTAGAGAAAGGTAAGTATCTACAAAGTGGTTACTTCTTTTTTAATCAAAATATCTAGGAATATACTTCTCATGTTCTCTGCTTGAATACTTGTAGGCTGGTTAAAAGCACATTACCACTGATGGCCAGCACTGCTGGCTTGTACAACGCTTGCTTCACACATGGTCTAAAATCACAGAATGGCCAAGTGCAGTGATGCATGCCTGTGATCCCAACACTTGGGAGGTTGAGGCAAGAGGATCACAGAAAATGCAAAACCGGAATGGACTATACAGTGAGTTCAAGGTCAGCCTGATCTACACTGTGAGACCCTGTCTCAAAAACAAACAAACAAACAAACAAAA